AGGTACCATATAGCTAGAAACATGCTATAGTTGTCCCAATCTTTAAGAGAGGCCACCCAAATGTACCCTCCAATTATAGGCCAATTAGCCTGCTCTCAATAATTGGGAAGCTGTATGCCTGATTCCTCAGTAGCAAACTGACAACTTTTCTAAATGAACATAATATACTATCTGAAGCCCAGGAAGCCTTTCGTGAGAACCATTCAACATCAGACCACTGTCTAATGCTGTCCTTCCTAGCCGAGAAGTATACCAGGCCTCTACAGGGTAAACTCTTCGTGGCCTTCATGGATCTGAAATCAGCGTTTGACTCCATCCCCAGTTCCCAGCTATGGTCCAAATTAAATCTGATTTTGCAGGACAAACAACTCCTCTTTCTTATAAAAGCCCTGTACAATGGAACCAAACTGCAGGTACAATGTGGTCGACAGGGACAGTTATCGAACAGCATCGAGATGACTAGGGAGATGAGACAGGGATGCATTCTGGACCCCACATTGTTTTGTCTATGCTTAAATGACATAGAAGAGGGCTTAATGGACCCAGATGGACACCTTCCAAAAATTGGAATGAGAAGGACCCCCTTACTGTTATATGCTGATGACGCAACCATCATCTCACGTTCCAGACCAGGTTTGAATTACCTGCTGAGGAAATTTTCTGATTACTGTTCTGGAAATGGTTTATCCATTAATTATGAAAAATCTAAAACTGTAGTTTTCTTTAAAAAAATTTTTTTTATTAAAGTTTTCAAAATGTTACAAAAAGAAAAAGAAAAAGAGAAAATACAAAGTAAAAACAGTTAAAAACAATTCAATCTTTCCGTATGTATTCCAGTTCAATTAGTTGGTTCAGCAAATCCTTTCCCTCTTTGTTTTTATCCTAATCTTTAATCTTAATATATTATAATTTTAGATTATCACCTGTTAACAATCTATTTTTACACATTCCTTTATGACATTACTGCTAAAAACCACTTAACTTCAATCCAACATCATTCTAACATTCATTAATTTTGCAGTATTTCTGTAGATAGTCTTTAAATTTCTTCCAATCTTCTTCCACCAACTCTTCTCCCTGGTCTCGGATTCTGCCAGTCATTTCTGCCAGTTCCATATAGTCCATCACCTTCATCTGCCATTCTTCCAGGGTGGGTAGATCTTATGTCTTCCAATAATTTGCAATAAGTATTCTTGCTGCTGTTGTGGCATACATAAAGAAAGTTCTATCCTTCTTTGGCACCAATTGGCCGACCATGCCCAGGAGAAAGGCCTCTGGTTTCTTCAGGAAGGTATATTTAAATACCTTTTTCATTTCATTATATATCATCTCCCAGAAAGCCTTAATCCTTGGGCACGTCCACCAAAGGTGAAAGAATGTACCCTCAGTTTATTTACATTTCCAACATTTATTATCGGGCAAATGATAAGATTTTTGCAAGCTTGACTGGTGTCATGTACCACCTGTATATCATTTTCATAATATTCTCTCTTAAGGCATTACATGCCGTAAACTTCATACCTGTGGTCCATAACTGTTCCCAGTCAGCCATCATAATGTTATGTCCAACATCTTGTGCCCATTTAATCATAGCAGATTTCACCGTTTCATCCTGAGTATTCCATTTCAATAGCAAGTTATACATCCTTGACAAAGTCTTAGTTTTGGGATCTAACAGTTGTTTCCAATTTTGATTTTTCCACCTGGAATCCAATTTTCTTGTCCAAATTGTATGCCTCCATTATTTGATAATAATGAAGCCAATCTCGCACTTTGCTTTTTTAGTTTTTCAAAACTCTGCAATTTCAATTTATCTCCCTCTTGTTCCAAAATTTCCCAATATTTCGGCCATTTGGTCTCCATATTGAGCTTTTTCTGAGCCTTCGCTTCCATCGGTGACAACCACCTTTTCGAAAGAAGCTTCTCCCGGTCTAAATGGGTGCTGGATGGCCATAACCTTGAACAGATCAAATACTTCAGTTATCCAGGGCTCACATTCCATCATACAGGATCTTGGAAGCACCACTGGCAAACCTCCCTTCAAAAGGTGGAGATCACAAAGCTAGTATGGACTCAGATTCTTTTTCACAAAGGGGGGCAAATATGTTCCAGCAGCCTTAAGGGTTTTCAACGCAAAACCCATTTCCCAACTCCTGTACGCTGCCAATGTCTGGCATAATGGGGACCTGCCAAAGCTAGTTGGCTTTCAGGCAAAATTTCTACGATCTCTGCTGCAGGTACCCAACTGTGTCCCCAACTCCATACTTCTGTTAGAAGCTGGTGAATGCCCAATTTCAACTAAAGCATGGTGGGCTGCCCTAAAACATTGGCTCAGGATTTCAGTGTTTGATCTAGGGAAGGGTTTGTACCAACACCTGACCAATGAGGAATTTGTCAGCAAATGGCAGAAAACCATGGCTAAAAAGCCACCTCTATTGGTCTGTCACCCCCCCCAACTGTATTACCTGGGTTATGAAGGCGCCCAAAAGATGTTAAAGCAAAGATTATGGGATAATGCACATAGTGACTTGCGATCTCGATCACACGCAGTCTGTAGTCCGCTGGCAGTAGGAGTACAATATGGGCATGTTTTTAAGTTAACATCTTACATTAAAAACCTGACAGTACCAAACTATCGAAGGCTTTTCACCAAAGCCAGACTAAACATCTTTCCTTCTGCAGTGTTGGATGGTAGGTTGCGAGGAGTTCCCTACCAGGACAAACTTTGCTCATGTGCTCAAGACATCGATTCCATAAAACATATTTTGTTGCACTGTGCAAAATATGAGCAAGCCAGGGCTGAACTGATACTACCCTTGCTGGTACCTTTCCTGGGAAAATCAGAGGGTCACTCTATGTCAGGTTTCTATTGGAAGACCGGACAAACGCTAGAACATTAGCAGTGGCAAAGTTTTTATCAATGGTTGCAAGAACTAACAATCCCAACATTCTGAACAAAATGCTTGTTTAACCTGGAGGTAGGCTGTATGAATTGTGTATTGCTTTATAACGATTTGTTGGGTCTCTGGACCATAATAAAGATTGCTATTGATTTTCAAATCTGGCAGGGAAAATCCCCCTCCTTCTTTAGAATCCATAAGTAATTTATATTTAATTCTGGGTTTCCCCCCTGCCAGATAAATCTAGATAGCACTTTATTCTATTCTTTAAAACATTTCACATTGTCTATGATTGGGAGGGCTTGGAACAGAAATAACATCTTTGGCAACACATTCATCTTAACCACTGAAATCCAGCCCATTAATGACAATTTTAAATTTGACCATATCTCTAAATCTCTCTTAATTTCATTCCATAAATTCTCATAGTTATCTTTGCACAAATTCAAATTTTCCCGATTCACCCCTAGATATTTAACTTTTTTCATGAAATCTTTTATTGTAATAGTTTTCTTTCATCATTATCCAGATTTTTCTCTAATACTTTGATATTTCTCTTATTTACTTAAATCCCACTACCTGTCAGAATTCCTGTATCAGCTCCAGTGCTTTTGCTGCACTGGAGTCTGGATCTTGTAGTGTCAATACTAAATCGTCAGTAAAGGCTTTTAATTTATATTGTTTGGATCCTACTGTGATACAGTGGTACCTCGGGTTAAGAACTTAATTCATTCCGGAGATCCGTTGTTAACCTGAAACTGTTCTTAACCTGAAGCACCACTTTAGCTAATGGGGCCTTCCACTGCTGCCACACCACTGTCGCGCAATTTCTCTTCTCATCCTGAAGTAAAGTTCTTAACTCGAGGTACTATTTCTGGGCTAGCGGAGTCTGTAACCTGAAGCGTATGTAACCCGAGGTACCACTGTACCTTTAATTTGTTAATCTTTAATCTTTTCTAATCATACTTAGCAAGACCTCTAGGACTGAAATAGACAGCAGAGGGGAAAGTGGGCACCCTTGCCTGGTTCCATTCTCAATTCTAATTTCCTCCGATACCACATTATTTACAATAATTTTGGCTTTTTGTTCTTGATAGAACGCTTCAATACCATTTAAAAAGTCTTGACCAACCCCCATACTTTCAAAGTTATGTAACATAAAACTCTAAGATACATTGTTAAAGGCTTTCTCTGTGTCAATAAACATTAACATTTCCTTGCAGTTCTTTCTTGCTTCCAGCTTATCCAAAATATCAATAATATTCCTAATATTATCTTTCATATGTCTTCCAGGCAGAAATCCTGCCTGGTCCTTATGTATATGATCAGACAAAACTTACTTTAGCCTGCTAGCAAATATATTTGCAAAATTTTGTAAACCACATTAAGTAAGGAGATTGGTCTGTAGTGCTTGACATTGGATCTATCTGGACCCTGTTTGGGAATCAGAGTAATATAAGCTTCCTTCCAGGTTTCAGGTGCTTTGCCCCCTCGTAAAATCAGATTACATACTTCTACCAGAGGATGAATGAGCCAATTTTCAATGTCTTATAATATTTCACTGATAGACCACCTGGTCTCGCTGCCTTGCCAAATTGAATTGAATTCACTGCATGTTCCACTTCCTGTCTTGTAATTAGTCCCTTTAGTAAAATCTTTTTATCTTCTGGAATCTTCTGCAAACCATTAGTTTTAATGAATTGCTCAACTTTTGCCTGGTCCTCTTTATCTTTTCTATACAGTTGTTTGTTATACTTATAAAAACATTTTCTTATGTTCACAGGGTTCTCTACAGATTTTCCTTCTGTTATAATACTTGTGATAGTACTTTGGTCTCTTTTTAATTGCCAGCCTAGAAGTTTCCCACATTTATTTGCAGATTGAAAGTTTCTTTGTATCATCCTTCTTAACTTCCATTCTATTTATTGATTTACAACCTGTGAATATTCAATGTGTAGGGCTTTAATTTCTCCCCTTGTTGGCGGTGAGCCTTTGGCCTAGCAATTCTCGGCGTAGTAGCTCATTCTGGGCCCTGGATGCTTTCCACGTGCAAGCAGGTTTGAAAGGGGCAGGTCAGAAGGAAAGCAAACGAAAGGAAAGATGGAAAGAGCGGGCAGCAGCGCCTGGCATGAAATGGGCGTCAAGTGGAGGGGCAGAGTTGAAAGCGGGGCCGCTGAGCGGCAAAAGGAGGCAAAAGCCTACGGCACCCGGTATTCCCAGGCGGTCTCCCATCCAAGTACTAACCAGGCCTGACCCTGCTTAGCTTCCGAGATCAGACGAGATCGGGCGTGTTCAGGGTAGTATGGCCGTAGACGCTGTACCAGCCTCCGAACCCAGCCTTTAAGCAAGAGCGCAGGGAAAGCGCCTCCCCCGAGGCCCTGGATGCTTTCCCCTCGCAGCTTTCGCCTTGCGTAGTTCCTGTCCATTCGTGGCTGTCTTTGAATGCAATTCAACTGAACAGCCTGCAGATGCATTCCACTTGCAGCTCTGCTGTGGAGCACTTGATGTCCAGCAGCTG